CTTTTCTTAATTTTTCTGGTCACAGATAGTTAAAAGATTAACCAAGTTCCTGGATAGTGTTCTTGATACGAGCTGCGTTTGATGGATGTTAATAAACCGTTTGCTGAAAAAGCCCACAGAAACAAACCTATTCCCAAAATGAAAGTGCGCTCTGGCTATTAAAGCAAGAAAGCTTGCTGCCAAGTGAAGTTACTCATGTTCAAAGGAGTACAAATTATTGAGTTAAATACTTTAGAAAAGAAGCGTGTGAATTAGTTATTCTGTCGTAATCTGTGAAGGGGAAAATATTTTTAGGGCACTGAATTCTTACTGAAATTGAGACTTTTACTCTTTAAGTTCTTTAGATTGCCTCTTTTTCGTATACCTGTTTTTCAGACAAAATATAAGGAATACTTTACTCATTAGCTCTAACTCATTATCTCTGTTAAGCAGCTGCAAACCTAAAATTAATCACTTTCACCATGAAATGTGAAGTATAGGTAATCTGTAATGTTTACTCAGTGCAAAAGTTGAACTGAAACTTATAGGAGGCTTGCAGGTAGATGTGGAGCAAGCACCCTGAGAATTAACCCACAGATATGTAATACATTTGTTATCTTTAAAAATGCAAATAATTCAGTGTTGGTAAAGCTGTTATGATGAAAATATGCCAAGCCTTACTCTGAAATTATTTGCGTTCCCTTTTAAACACAGACTCCAACTAGACAAAATACAAACAGATCGCAGAATTTCATGAAGACATTCTCATAGAGGAAGCTACTATTTTAATGTTAAAAAATAAATTAAAAAAAAATCTGATTGTCACCTGAAGAGCAAAGGAAGAAGTGTGCTTAACAGCACTTTTGGATGTACTAAAACACAAAATCCAGTAGCATTGTTAAAAAGCAAAATGTCCCCTTGAATACGTGCATTGCTTTTGTGAACTAGAGTGGAAATGCAGGGGAAGTAGAAAACATTTCTGCTATGTTTGATTGTCCATGGCTTATGCTTGTAAGAATGAAAAATGGAAGTAGATTTTGTTCTCTGAAATTGCTGAATCACAGTTCTTTTCACTCAGCTGTGGCGATGGAGATCAGCAGGGATTTCCTCGGACTACTGATGCGACACGACACGACACCGCATGCTGCAAGAATGCTGCCTGACAGCAGCTTGCCTGTATCGATAGCAAGTAGCTCCCCTGTAATACTGATGATTGGAGACAGTAAAACTGCTGACGGAGGCTTAAATGTTCTTTATAAGGACTAACCTAGTGAAAAGAGCCAAGTCAGGGAATCCCTTGGGGTCGGTTGTTTATTTGGTACGGTTGTACTTGTATGTAGCACTGAGTTCCCTCTCTAACTTAAGCATTGAGAAATTGGGTGCCAAGGACTGCAAGAGCTAGCAGGCAAAGAAAAGCTGTCTTGCTTTGTTACAGATCTTTCATTTTGATGTTGTAAGGAACTTTGATGTCTCAGTCTGTAGTTAAAACTATCCCATGCTGTGTTTCCCTTTGTAGATACATTTTGCTGCTTTCAATTTGAGGGATTCTGGCAACTTGGTCAAAGCTGCTGCTGTGACTGGGCTGTTACAAATCTAAAAAGTCAGAATGTTCCACAAAGCACATGCAGACAGTCTGTTTCAGGTCTAATGCAGATTTATTTCTGTTTGCGGAATCTCTGAATATGGTATCCTTGCTGATATCTCTGCTTAAGGAAGTCAACACTACAGTGTAAATATTAGCCACAGCATGCCAAATCTCTGGAGAGAACTTGCTGTTCTTTTAAACATTGCCGTTGTTTTGAACAGCTTGCCATTGTTTTAAAATCATGCTGCTGATCTCTGGAGGTCAAATGGCTCTGCCCGACAATGGTCACACTCTTACAGAATCCTTGTGTTGGTACTCACTCTTGTTTTCTTGGTTTTATGCAAACATAGTGTCTATCTGATGGTATTAGAGGAGGCATGGGGCAGTTATTCCTCGCTGTTATGTATGCCAGTATCAATATATGTAGGATTAGAGTAATATCAAGGCAGTGTTGAATATTAGTATCCTCATGAATGAGGCTAGGAATTGTGATGACTTATGATCTTGCTGAGAGAGAAGCGTATGAAAGTCTGTTTTAGACTGGTCAATCAAAGCAGGAGTACCAGGTTTAAAATAAAGAATTTCGGTATATCTTGATGCTTTGCCTTTTTTCTAAAGTCAGGTATGTGGTTAATTTCTTCTTCAAAGGAACAATAAAATTAAGCAAAGAATTTTTTTTTTTTTTTGTGATTGATACTGAAAGCCTTAAAAAGATGAGTAAAAAAAATTTCAAGTTTTCTTATACCTCTTGTAACTATTGAGCTCTTATTATTGTTTTAGGTTTTCCTGTTCAGCTTTAGCAGCCATAAATTCAGTGGAAGGTTGTGTGTCACATAACTGCTGGAGTTTACAGAAAATGCTGAGTATTACAGAATTTCACAATAAGTTATGCCAGTTTACAGGGTTTCACTTTTTTTTTTTTTTTTTTTTTTTTTTTTAAATTAGAGCCCCCTGTTCCCTCTTAACAATTACGGAACTTCATGATGCTGATGTCTACTTGCTCCTCCTCCCAGAAAGAAAATATTGGAGGCTGGAAATCTAAGGAATTATGTTTAATTCAGTACTTCCAGTGTCATAATACACAGATTTCTAAACAACCTCAACAAAATGCTTTTTTTAATTGATCTGCCTATAGCTTAAAGATTTATGTGTTAGTGGTTGAGCATTTCTTGTTCCAGTTGTATTTCTTCCAAGAAATAAAGATGAGGCTGTGCATAGTTGCTCTTTCTAAGGAGCAGCAGAACAATATATTTGTTTGGAGGGTAAGGAAGCACCGTGTAAACTGTCTTTGTCAATCTCGAAACCAGAAGGTGCAACTCCCGTATGTTACTGGGTTCTTCATATCTTTACCTGGAGGATTTACTGATAGCGCAAATGTGATTTTTAAAAAATCAATTCCAACGTATGTACATATGCAGAAGTATATATGCAGATAGAGAATTATATGTAGATAAGTTGGTGTAGAGATAAAATATTATCATGACAAATAGGCTAACAGGGTTGCTTCTGCTATGGAGAACTATGTCATTTGTCTGGATGAATTTGGCAGTGTTACATTGTTACAAGTTAAAACCAAATAATTGCTTTAAGGAGGGAAAATCAGATCAACAAAACACGTGTGTCAACTCATTTTATTTGCTTTCTTTTTTCATCGAGGAGTGTGTATACTTTGGGGTAGGACTGTAGATTTATTTGCAATTGGCTACTGGATTGTAAAGGACACATTAATCTTTCAAAAGGGAAGCAAACTCCCAAATGTATTTTCATATTTGCTTACTTTTAACTGTCTTTAATTCCAGCCTCTGTGGTCAGATGACTCTAGCTTCTGACCAGCTGATACCATCACTTTCTTTCAGAACAAATTTAAAGAGGTTCCATTGTTGTTGATGAATGGTCACACGTGGGTGAAGACAGGTGGCATTTAGACTGAGAATTTTGGCTTAGTGCAAGGGATAGTGTTCAATAACATTGAAGAATTTGAATCAAGAAGCATTGAGAAATGTCACACTTCATCAGTGAGTTCATTATTTTCTTGGTGTGGTCATTGAATATTTAGTTTACAGAACCTGGTGGTCATGATTTCTCTTTGCTTTTTAACTTGCGTTGTTAACTAAACATGTACAGATCAAATATCAAACACTGGCTTTGAGCCACTGGAATGGCAGTGTTTCAGCTACGCTTCACCATTTGCCTGCAGTAATAACAGAACTTCATTCAATGAAACTTGTCCATCTAGATCAGATTTCGACACTTTAGCTGTTTTTGATGATCCTGCAATGCAGAATGCTGTCGGGAGGAACTACAGCTCATGGGAACATGCGGAACTACCTTTGGTTGCAGTCTTACAGTTTGGCTTGACTGAAACCAATTGCTGTTTGTCAGTCGTTCTCTTTCAGTTGCTTCTGCTGCTCTTCTTCCCCTTTTTCTTGATGCACTGGGCCATCCTTGGGATTTGTATGGATAAGCAGGTTCAACTCATTAGAACAGCAGAAAAATAACTCCACAAAACACAAATGAACAGAGTTTGCAGGTCAGCTATTTATCGTGCTGCTACCTGCTGTGGGACTGGACAAATGCCTCAGCTGTGCCTAAGCAGGTGGAGTCCTGTGTCTAGGAAACGTGGGAAAGGTCGGGCTGGGAATGAGACAGGGTCTGCGGGGGGACCGGTCAAACGTGACTCCCCCTCTGGTGTTCCTCAGCTGTTGGCGCAGTTCTGCTGAAACGCCTTGTGGCCACCTACTGCATGCATGTATTCTTTGTATGTGAGACCTGTGATGGTGCCCACGTGTGTCTAAGTGGAAATATGTTCTTCAGACATTAATGTTGTTTTGTTTTTTAACTTCATTGTAGATCTTGCTCCATCTCAAATGTCAGGTTTATCCCAGGATGCTGTGGATACACGTTTCCCGCTGCCTGTCATGGCTGCTCATGAGGAATTAAGCCCCTGTTGAAACAGCTGGCTTGGGTTGCCAGCTGCTGATGGAGAGACTTCTTTTAAAGGGAGTATAGAGGGATCCACATATAAACCAAAGTATGTAACTATAAGAAAAGAGATCTCTTCAGCCTTAACTTCTAAAAATCAAAGAGCAGCTAAAAAAACTTATATTTGGGTGAATATGGTAGTTACGTTTAGAATAGTACAAGGGAAATTGACCTCCTATTTGACAGCATTGCAGATTCATCAAAGAAATAATACTTTGTTTTCCTTTTATCAGCTTCTAAAGAATGTAAGAGATTTTTTTTTAGTACAAAAAAATGAAATCTTCCTTAAAATGAAAGACGAACTTACAGAATTTCTGTCTAATCACTTTTTCAGCAAGGTATTTTCTCTCCTCAGCAAAACTATGCATACTCATTGTATATGTATGTTTAGATTGCATTCACAGTATTGATATTCTCAAAATTATTCTCAAAATATCTGTTTGCTTCTCAACAGATATCAACAAAATAAGAAATGTGTGAACCAGACCATGGAACGTTGTTAACACCTCAAAGGATTAGTGATGTAGGTATGTATGCTATCATGTTCAAATGTAAGTATTTCGGATTGCTAGAATAAAACTATTTCTGAAATATTCTGTGCAAATAATTGTTGCATATGGAAGCTACAGTAGTATTTTGATGTTTAACATGAAAAATCTTTCCATAATTAGACATTAATTTTAGGGTCATTTTGTCAAGCTTTCTGCAGGTATGTGACAAATGAGAATCCTTAGGAGAGACTTGAAGGAGGATCATGAGATAGCTTTGCAGGACTTACCTTAGCATTTTATATGGGATCCTTCTGCAAAACCATTTATTAGACATATTGCTTCCAGCCACTACATGCTTACTAGTGAATAGAAAAAAACACAAACCTAATATCTAATGGCAAGTTTCACCGTTAAAGGTACCTAAAAAGAGATGGAAAGAAAAGCCTTGTTCTTTATCCCCATAAGCATCCTAGCTCACATGGGAAATTACTGGGAATCTGTATGCTTGCAGTGCTTGGGCAAATGTTCAAGTATTTTTGTAGACCAATATAATTGTATCTTAGGCTTTAGCCAATTTTTGTTACATAATATTGTGAAAAGATATTTTGTAATCATATCTACCTAAGCTTATTTTTTATTAATATGGATTTATGTGTATGTGTACACCCAAAATCATATACATACAAGATATATAGCATTTATTTATATCTTTAAAATAAAAGACACAGCAAACACATTACCTGTAATATAAATGTAAAGTTTGCATCTGGTATGCTAGGAGCCTAATTTTTGAATTAATCTTGCATGAAGAGACCTTGATGACTTCTACCAGCTTATGTTTGTTTCAAATTCTTATTCAGCAACTCCAATTTTTGTTATAGAAACAGTTAATGTTTTTATTATACTGTTTCTAAATTCTATGCATAATGCTTTCATTTTATGGCTCATACTTAAAGTATTTCTTGAATTTGACATGACTGTAAATGTTTGTGATAACTAGAAAATCTGGTGACTTCTATGAAAAATGGTCTATGCATCCAGAAGGGTAAACCCATTGACTACAAACATCTATATGAACTTGCTGCAATAGAAAAAATAGCATCAGCAAAAATTCAATTAAAGGTATGTGGTTTTTATTTCTAATATCAATTATTTTTTTAAAGTACAATGATGACATTTTTTCACTGCCCTCAAAGAATCCGACAATGAACAGGAATAACAAATTGTTTTAACAGTATTCACGATGGGCAAAAGATGCAAGTTTGTAACACTGTTACTATGACATGGAAACTTCAGTGTTGAATTATGGAATTTCTTGGAATCAGGGATGCAAAATACATGGAATCTGCTTCCCAAAAAGACAGGAGATGTTTATATTTGAGTGCTTAGAGGAAATTCATCCAGACTCATTAGATAATCAACTCAAAATAGTGGGGATAATGAAGAAGTTATGGGAATGAAGGAGGATTGCTCTGGAAAAAAATTAAACCAAAAATATAGACATGAAGTGAAGATTTCCAGAAGTCAAGCTGAGGTAGCGCTTGAGAAAAAAATAAAGAGTTTTATAGCCACATAATGTAAATTCAGAGCTGGACAGAAAGGTGTAAATAGCTGCAGTATGTCTCAAATAGTAAATAAGAGCTAGTCTATTTAATACTAATGAAGTTCAATGAAAGCTTTACCTCTGCTTTTGTTAGGAATGATGTTTTATGATGTGTTGACAAAGCAGGGTGACAAGCAGAACTGAAGACAAAATTATGTGCTGTCAAACTGGAGAGAAGACTAAGTACCAAATCCAGTATCCAGACTAAGCACCAAAGACTAAGCACTCATCATGTAATTTCACATGCTAATTTTTTTTTATAAGTCTGATCTCAGAGACATTTAATAAATCCATGCAACAGTGGGTGATACTGTACAAGTTGAAAATAGCAAGGTGGTTTGGTATATAAGAATGGGGATACAGGGAAGGAAGCATTTTTGACAGTGGTAGACCCAAAGTCTTCAGTTATGTACAAGTTAATTAGAAGAAAATGTGAAGAAAATAATTTGTAAAACTGAGTAAGTAAATTAAAAATGCGGCCAGTCTTTAAATAGGGAGGAGGACAGGATGAGCACTGGTAGTTCTCCAGACAGCCTCATTACAATCTTTACATTAGGCATATACCAAACAGGTTATGACGGAGTTCCAGCTTTGTAGAAGGACCAAATATTAGAGAAAATGTGAAGACTAAATTAGAAAGGTTAAGATATAGCTAACTCTTGAATACTGCACATGACCTTCATTATTATAGTACCTAAAAAAAAAAATAAAGACAACAAAAACAAACAAAAAACTTGAATAATACAGGAAGTAATACCCTCATAAGGAAACCTAAAGGAATTAGTATATCTTCAAGTATTTTGAGTGAAAGCATTGATCAATCTTGCTTACATTCATATACATCTATGTAACAGGTAGATGAAATTTGACAATCTTGATACTAGAACTGTCAGCAGATAAACCACTCACACGTGAATCAGTTGCAATTTCTTGAGCTTTAAACTACCTTTGGGGAAGTGAATGCAAGAAGGCAGACTGCTGTTCTGTATGTGCATATTTCGTTTGTTGTATTCCCTGTTAAAAAAATAAAAAATAAAAATAAAAATAAAATAAAATTATAGCGAGTACATTCATATAGGGAGAATATATTCATATATTCTTACTACTTTTTCTGCAAAATTTTCCCCATTCTTATTTTAATACCACACTAAAATCAGTAATGTATGCCATAGCTTTGAAAAGAGGCTTTATAGAAGTGACATTCTATTCTTCCAAAGTTTATAGATTTTATACTGACACAATGATATTGTGACAAAGTACGTTTTCAAGCAAGATTTTTACTTTAATCAGATAGGATGTTAGTGCGGTGATCACGGTGCCGCTTCTTTGGGTCATATTTCAAAGCAGAATTACTTGTACGAGACCCGCTCACTCTGTCATGTGCGCTCCCGGTTGCCTGGGACTGCTTTTATCGGGGTGGTAGTTTAGCTGGGCCCTTGATGCAGCCAGCGGGGTTGGCTTTGGGCTGGTTTATTACCTTAGGTTCAGTGCACAAACACAGCTCGTTTGCCTGTTGGACAAACAGTTTAGCTTTCATGTGCCATGACAACGAAACTGTGGGGTCCCGCTGGGCCTGGGTGCGGTGTGGAGCCGTTCAGGTGTCTTTGTGGTACCCGTCTGGAGCGGGGCTGAGCTCAGCAGCTGCGGCCTGCGGCTGGCCCCCGCTGCGTGGCTGCGCTGCGCTTCCAGGAGCTTGCCCAGCTGCTGCAGGCAGGCCAGGCGTTGTGAGCTGAGATCTCGTGGCTGTGGGGCGGTCGTACAGCGTCTTTGGCAAGTGTCAGACCTCCATGCGTAGAACCGGTCCGAAACAGCAGCTAGAAGGTCCTGTTAACTTGAGGGAGCTGTTTAGAGATTTGTGCTTGAGGCATCTTTCTATCTCGCCAGTGTGTCCTCTATGAGTATGTATTACCTGGCTTGTCAGTGTCACTTATGTAAAAGATCGGAGAGTTGACGGATTCTTTTATTATTTTTTTTTAATTTTGTGCCATTCTGAGGGAGGGCTTCTGATTGCTTCCATTACCTACAATTCAACAGGGGAAACATGGGACATTTTTGTGAACAAGCTCACTAAACAGCAAACCCAAAGGTATGGGAAGCCTGTAGCTCATCTAAGCGCTCCTCCAGCTGTTCACTAAACGGTTTGTCCCTTTGAAACTAATTTTTCATCATTTGTCTTTTGGTATTTCACCTTTTTTCAAGTGTTTTCCAACTGAGTAGGTAATAAAATATGTATGCTGAAAGCTCCACAGAGAATAAAATGTGTTCCCACCTATTTCTTCTTGTTGTTGCTGCTGATTCGGGTAATCCAGTTTTTGAAGTTCTGAGTTACTTCTCCATGGATGTGGAACCAAATAAGCAAATGACAAATCAATTGTTGGCTGCTTAAGGAAGAAAAGTACTTGTGGATGAGAACTGTACGGGAATGCTCCACAGCTTCCTCTTTGAGATGCCTGCTGGTGTCACCTACGCAGCAGGCAGAGGGAGTGGAGATGTGGCCTTTCAGGGGTTTTGTGCATGTGAAGGCAGAGGGGGCAGCGTGTGGCTTTGTCCAGCTTTCACTATGCAGGAACATTGACGAAGCATTTTTAAGAGTGAATTACTGCCACCTGAGACAAATGAAAAATGAGCAGTTATGTCTCATAATGGTGTTTCTTTCCTGGGCTAGATGTGGAGTGAGACCTTTATTCCTTACTCCTTATTATGAACTGGGACAAGCGTTTCCAATTTTTTTTTTCCTTGCTCACTGCTGTTCCTGCAGTAGAAAGATACAGCGTAAAGGAAGGTCTGGGGAGGAGGAATGAAAAAATAATAATAAAAATAAAAATAGGGGGGTGATTTATGGGTGGCTCTGGAAACAGAGGGGGGTTTTGCAACTAGAAGTAGTTGACTGGGGAGGGATGGGGTCAGGTGGTGAAGAGGAAGGCTGTGGCTGGGCAGCAAGAAAAGTAGCAGGAGAGGAGCAAATGTTTGCTGGGCTGAAATCCTGCTTTGTCCTGATTAGTCACTGAGAGGCAGGAAACGGTCATGATGGCAGGAGGATAAAATAAAACTGACCTAGCTCAGGGGTTTCTGGCAGCCACAGACTTCTTTCCCTTCTTCCTTCGTTGCTGATTGGCCTGAATCATCTGGCTGCTATTCCATCAGCCTGTATGGCTCTCCCTCTAGTTTAAGAAATAACTCCATCTATCTCTGTCTTCCTATTATTAACTGAAGTTGGAAGCAATGTCCTTGTGGAGCCCTCAATTTCAGAGTATCTTTAAATGGATAGATTTTGGAAAAGCACCCTGTTTTCAGTAATCAGTTTTTGAAATTCTTTTTCTTGAAAGAAACATTTTTACTCTTTCATCTTCCCACCTGTAAGAGTTTATTTTTATTTCTCTTACTAATCTCCCCTCTATCACCTGGACAACAGGGATGGGAAAGAAAAGGAGAAAAAGGAAGAAAAAAATACAGTCCATTTTCTTCTAGTTTTCATTTTAATTGTGATTTGGAGTGGAATAATTTTTTTCATGGAAATTGATTACGTTGCAACCCATTGTTCTTCAGAAAACACAGTTGTGCAAAGAGCCTTTAGGTTCACCATTCTGTAGTTAAATTTTGATATGAAGGCATGTGATAAAGCTATTGAAAATACTTAAAAGTACTTATAAGCATTTATTTTCCTGCAGATTAAAAAAACAGAACAAATTTCAAAGAATAACAAAGAGCAAATGCTGCTGAAACAGCATCGCCAAGTGTGGTGGCAAGAGCATAAAAGACTGCGTGAGAATAGGTAAGACCTGAGGAATCTTAGTTAGTTATTATTAAAGAAATACATCAGCAGACAGAGAGGTAGGTGCAAAGAGAACAGATGAAAGGAGGGCAGAACAGGGTGGATGTTCCGCATGTACTCAGTGGCACATACCGTGCTCTCCAGCTGTTTAGCTGACCTGTCAGAATCTGAAGAGCCTGTATTTGTAGGAGTATCAGAAGTTTTCCGATGGTTTTTAATCATTTTAAGTGTCAGTGCGTCTCTAGGTATGTTGAATCGTTCACAGTTATAACAGGGAATGTTAATATTGCTCATGAGAAGAGAATTATCCTCTCATTGCTAAAGATGAACGAAGCATTCAAGAGACATTTGAATAACGTCATTGATACTATACATGTACTTTTACTTTTGGTTGGCCCTGAAGTGGTCAGGCAGTTGGACTTGATCCTTTTAGGACTCTTCTGACTGAACTATTCTATTCTATTGTATTCATGCTGCAGAAGCTGTTTTCTCTTCTTTTGAATGATGTATGCATGTACCTTATCTTAGAATTTTCAGGAACGAACGCTTTTGGTGGCCTGCTGCAGGTGTTTTTATGTTCTGTTTTTTTTTTTTTTTTTTTTTTCTTTTTCCAGAAATACTTGTAACTTGCTGACCAAACTACAGACAGCTTTGTTGTCCTAGGTCTACTAGCTTACATTTTGCATGTACAGCAGATCAATAACAGCATGTTTTGCTCAAAAGAGGGTGGCTTCCATGCTACTTTTCTGTAAAATGCCTGACCTTAATAGATTTCCAGGCAGAGAATCTCTCTTTTTACTTAATTATCAGAGCTTATCATTCTTGTCAATTTAATAAAAAAGAAATCAAATCTTCTGTATTAAAGCAAACAAACAAAAAAACTCTTTCATGTCTTGCAGGGAAAAAGCAGAAGCAGAAGTAAAGATTGTTCTTGATGAAGGAAGTCATAAGTATGACTTTTTTTTGGATATACGGGACTTGGGTAAGACTTTCCAGTTCATGTCTTGGTTCTTTATTATAGTCAAAATTATCTTGATTACTTGTTTATGTTTTTAAATGCCTGTCATGACAGCTTTAGATTTAGGAAGTATAGTGCTACCTAATACTCTGTGTGTTTGAGAAAGCTTTATGTTTCATTTGGATATAGAGCAAAAATTATCAAAGGAATGGGATGCATACCAAACAAATACTGTAGCTCCTATCTGGCAACTAAGAGAGAATTTGAAATTCTGGATGTCTGAAATGCAGCATTCCCTCTCAGAAGACTTTTGTCTGAAATATAAGTTCAATCCAGTTGACATGTTACAGCAGGTTGGTATTTTAACGTTACAGTTTCTAATCATTGTCTTTTTAGCATTTTTATTTATTTATAAGCAATGTTTTACGGATATAACTCAGAGTATTCAGTAGGCTTTGTATTTGTGGCACTGCAAATTTTTCACTAAAATCTGTAAAAGCATAGCAGTGTGAAACTGGAAATCAAGCTTTTTGTTTCCAAATAAGAAATTTCATATTCTAGCAATATGAAGTAACACTAATGCATTTCATGACATAGATTGAATTTGTGAAGAAGCAACAGGAAGAAATTCTGGAATTTCTTAACCTTGAAAGTCTGACTGTGGAAAGACAGCTTGAAGCCTATAAAAGAAAAGTAAGCTTTTCCTTGTAAGTTTAGTTAACGGTTTCTGAGAAAAAATATAATGCAGAGTAGTCTGAGCAGCATTTTTCATCACAGGCTTTAGTGCGTTCTTCTGAAGAAAAAACCAAACTTTTCCATGAAGTTCCTTCAGCACTACTATCTTTGGAGTTCCCCTATCCAGATCTGAAGAACTTAATTATCAAGGAGTACTGTAAGCTTGCAAATGAGTACTGGTCTAAGCTTCAAGAGGTTGATCAACAGCTGGAAGTCATATATAGGTAATGACACCTGTTTCTAGATTTCTTTTGCTGGGGAAAAAATAAACTATAATGTATTTTACAATCTACAGATCATGTAGTTACCCTTACCACGATAGCTGGTTCTATTTTATTCAGTGCAGAAAATAGTTGGCTCACTGCCCAATTCTATGGGGTTAAAGCCAGTAACTGTTTGCACAGCTGTGAGAATTGAGGCAGTCCTTTCTAAAGAACTCATCTGAAATAATAAGTGAAACGTTTTATGAATTAAAAACCAACAATCTGATGCGTCTCAAATGTTCTCTTCACACACTTTTATATGAGTAGAAGTGATTCTTTCTGTGTGATACACTATCAAATTAAGTCAGAAAAGTACAGCCTTTCTGAGGGAGATCTTAAATGTATTTATTTATAAAGTTGATAAATAGGTCCAATCTCTTCAAGGATGTTGGTTCATTGCAGTAACTGTCATCACAAATAAATGTGAAACTGTATGTAGATTCAGAATAGTTTAATAGTATGTAGATGGGGAGTAAAGGGGAAGAATGTGGCTCAAGAAAAGCTGGTGGAAGTGGCAGTGGCACCAACCTGCTAGAGGGGTGCACAGGTAGGCTGCCTGGGACAAATTACCTGATTTGGGTCTGTGTATGCCAGTATGATTAGATGGGAAGGTATAAAATCATAAATGAATCATCAGCAATTGTCTTGGGTATGGAATTTAAGCTAAATCTTGATCTTTTTGTTTGCCTTCTGTTCCTGAATCTTTATTGCTCATTTTGATTTCTATGCTTCTATCCACAACATTAAAATATTTTCAACACAAAAGGCAAAATTTGCTTTTTTCTTGTAGAATCGCTTACTTTCAAGACATGGGGTTTATAAAACACATCATTTTTTGTTACTTTTTACATTTGTTTTGGAAAATTTGCATGGAAATACTCTGAGTTTGCAAAGATACAGCCTTAAGATTTAATTATTCAATAATTCATCAAGGTAACCTTGATCCAACAGATAATACTGTGAAAAATTGAGTGATGTAGATTTTTGACCTTATGTATCCACTGTACTTTACTGACTAATGCAGCGCTTGTGAAATCTCTGCAGTTATCTCACTGCTGTCTACCTGAAGATGACAATACAACTGCCATACATTTTCTCTCGTTCTTGTAATTTGAAGTTGCTCAGTAGAACAATACAATTATGTAGTAACATAATGGTAACTTTTTCCTCCAAGGATCTGAGGATTATTTCTGTCATTCTTCCTCTGTCATCATATGTGTGAAAGTACAGAAAAGAGCACTGGGTTAATACGTATATCATTGTTTAACTGTTCAGGCTTTCTGCAACAAAAAATTGGAAATGTGCATAGAATATCTAAAGAAGAAAACTGAGAATAAGGTAATCTGGTCTGCTATGTTCTTTGTGTGTTTTTCAGTCCTACTAGAGTACATGCTACAATGTGTATTGCTTTTAGAAACTTAAAAAAGAAATAGGAGTAGAATGTTTGATCAATCCAGATCCACTTATTGTATTGATGCTGAAACACAATTTTATTTTATTTTATTTTTTTGGGGGAGGGCATTGTCCCATAAATTGTGGACTTGGAACCAATGTGTTACAGCCGATGGCACTGTTATATTTTTGCCACGATTTCCAAGGGTGTCTGAATTATCTGAATAACTGAAAGATGAATTGAGTACTACATATTTAGCACTGTATCTTCAGCAACATCAAATGAAAGGAATATTATGACTAAGTCAAGTATACCTGGTCCCTCTTTTTGGGTCTATTGACAGGATGTTCCTGCTGAACAACCAGCAGTGACTCAATTGATAGAGAAGTTAACATATCACTTGGTACAGAGAAGTTAACATATCTCTTGGTGGCATTGTTGCAATCCGTCTGCAGATTCAACCACACAGCGGTGCATCAAGTTCAGGTTGTCCCAGCTATTGCAGAGGATATGTGAGGATTATAGGGCAGAGAGGGTAACTTCTCTTCCAAGTTGTTTGTATTTTGCAGGGTGTGTAAAGCTGAGGATTAACCCTGGGTAAGTGTTTCAAAGGAAAGAGCTGCTGCAGGGCTGTTGAGTATAAGAGAATCACCTTGCTTCAGTTCTGAAACAAAATAATGAAGTGTTTTCTAGTAGCAGAATGATATATATATATATATATATATATATACACACACACACACACACATATGTATATAAGAAAAGCAAGCAGTATATTTAAAATTTGGGTTGTACATTCAGCGTTGTATAAGCTTGTCAATACCCTGTCACTGAAGCACCATGATGCTAACTTAAATATTTATCTAAAATGTGATGGTGCTTTCCAGATTCTTTTTAGGTGAGGTCTTCCCTTCTGGAATTTTACAAGAGTTTTAAGTAAGGAAATGTCTTGCATTTAATCAGGCAGTATATTTTGTAATTCTGTCTGTTTTATAGTTGTGAATATACTGGAATGGATCATGCTGGGCTGGATTGTGTTGGGCTGGACAATGCTTTTTTTAGCTGTTTGTCTATGAACAGCTGACAAAATCTAAGCGCAGCTGACAAAGCTTGGCACAGCTGACAAATCAAGACACTGGCAGTCAGTGTTTTCCTACTCACAATAAGCTACTTGCAGCTCTAGCTGTAGCTGTTAGCTCCCCAGGGTATTCTCCACCCCTCTCAATTTCTCTGTCTTGTTCCTAGGTAGTACAGAGATCATAGAATCACGGAATGGCTCGGGTTGGAGCGGACCTTAATGAGCACCTGGTTCCAACCCCCTGCCATGGGCAGGGATGCCACCCACTAGAGCAGGCTGCCCAGGGCCCCATCCAACCTGGCCTCCAGGTTGAATGCCTCCAGGGATGGGGCATCCACAACCTCTCCGGGCAACCTCTTCTAGTGTCTCACCACCCTCTGAGTGAAGAATTTCTTCCTAACATCTGATCTAAATCACTTTGATAGTTGAAAACCATTCCCCCTTGTCCTGTCATTATCTGTCTGAGCGAAGAGGACATCTGTCTCTCCATCTTATTTATAAGTCTACTTGAGAGATTGAAATTGAGATGCATCATTAGCTGGCTATTAGAGCAATATACAAGTCAGAGGGATCCTTGCAGAGATGAGAGAACTGAGGTGGAGACTGGTGCAGGAACTGGTGCACCTGCCCATGTGCTCTGGAGGCACAGCAGGTCACCAGACCAGCCTTCTGAGCTGTTCCCTGCTCTCAGGTTTGTGGTGTGAAGTTTCCTGATTAAGATGGATCTTACTCTGCCTCACTCCTGTAGATGGAAGACCTATATTTGTTCATGAACTAGAATGTTTGGAAAGAATGCTGTGTTATCTTAAGAAAAAGAAACGGTACTCAGCATCAGTTGCAGTCAGATATTTAAGTCATGCATGGCAAAGAATAATTAATTTGTTCATTAAAGTTACTCTTCAGAAAGCCCATATTTCACACAGATTCTAAAATTAATAAATGAACATTTCATTAAACTCCTCCCTTTTCTCTACAGGGAGCTTTTCAAAGCACTCATTTCTGAGGATCAGTTGCAAGACATCTTCTGCAGAGGCAGTAAAGGTTGCAAAAATAGCACATCTTCCCAGTAGCACTTCTCTATCAAAGCTCAGGAGCTGTTATCTTTGGAGAACTGTGTCCGCTGTACAAGCCCTACAACCTGAAGGTTACAAGTTATTACTGCAACCATTCCCTGTTTAATGGATTCCTTAATCCCATTTTACTCTCCTGGGCACTATTTCTTCTTAGCATATGAGAAAACCCTCTGCTCAGACATCTATATTCATTGTCTTTCATGAGAAATTTAAGCCATCACCTATAAAGAAACACTTTAATTACTAGAGAATGTCTGCATTTGCTAATGTGATTCCACATTTTATGTTGTCTCTAGCACTTACTTGGTAGTTGTCAGTCTTGTCAGTCACTGCAAATAAACTTTTTACAGGAGCTAAATATTTTTCTTTCCCTGATTTCAAAGCAGTCTCTATTTCTCCTCATAATGCTGGATTTAATAGCAAACATCTGTGTCCTACAAATTGTTTGTCGGATATTCCACACGGTTTATAAGAAGCAAAAAGAAAATGGGTGGAGAGTAAGAATAATATAATTATGTCAGATAAGATTGTTGAGGGAAATAGGGCTCCATGCACTATTGTATTAATTTTAACATTAATCAGTGTCAAAGTCCAGTTTATTACTCTAGTATTTCTAGTCCTAAATCTGTAACTGCACAAGTGCTGTGGAGCTTTTTCATCTGAGTTTGCACTACTGTAGTGTAAAGCATCCCCACAGAGGAAATATATGAAGTCCTGGGTAGACAGGGAAGTCAGTGGGCAGCAAGGTGAGGTGTGGCTGGGTGTGACATCGTGTGCCGCGCTAACTGTGCCAGTTCATTGGGTCTGTTCAGCTGGCATCTTTTTCATTCATTCCAGTCAGGCTGCTGTTGAACTTTTATTTTTATTTTTTTATTCCTAGCACATTTTGTGAATTACTCTAAAGCTGTCAGCAAATGCAGACTGTGAATGTTTCTCTTTGGAAAAGCAAAGATCTAAGTATCGGTGTATTACCTTTGTACTGTGACGTGGTACTGTTACCTGCAGACACTTGGTCATTGTGGTTGTTAATTTTCAATGAGTTGCTTTCATTTTACTCTGATAAACAGTTAAGTTACACAAACTCACTACAACAGAGGGTCAGCTAAGAGTTAATGCTTCATATTGTGTCCCCCCCCCACCCCTAAAAAAAAACCAAAAAAAGTTATATGTGGAATCTCTCTATATACTTATTACCACTGCAGAGCTCTGTTTTGTTTTGTTTGTAGCACTAATGGCATTAATAACGTTGCTGGAATTTATTGAAGGAAGTAGGATGTGATTTTTCATTATGCGGTTATCTTCGTTGTGTCATCTGGGTAAAGATGAGAGTAACTTTTAACATTTATTCAAAGAAAAACAATATAGGGAAAGTACACATGGAGGGCAAGAAACAAGGTGTTCATAGTTATGGAATAAATTATTTAATGTTTCTTCTTAATTTGGTTATATGTTGCCGCCATTTTGATCATGGAATAATGATTCTATGCTGAAAATGGTGTAGTAAGCTAAGGAACATTTTTATTTCGTTAAATGGGGAATTGAAGGAAGAGAAGGAAGAAGCTCTGATCACTAGGTGTCTCCATAAAGGTGGGTGAAGGTCAAATCCTTCTTTTTTCCTACCTGATCATCTCTAAGACCAGAAAGGTAAAAATAAAACTCTTCTGTCTGCTTGAAGAAAGCTACAAAATGAATGCTATTAGGCAGGTGAAAATAATGGAACTCAGTCCAAATTCATGCCAACTTCATGGCAAAGCAAGCAACAATGGAAAGTGCTGGAGTGGGATGGGGGAGAATGTGAGAAGTGTCATCAAGAGGTTGGGTTCCCTTGCCTGAGAGTGCATTACTTGGAAAAATGATTTATTGAAATGGGTTATTTTGTCTGCGTTCTTGAGGGATGTCTGTAGGTGAAGCATTCCATATCTTTAAATGAGCAGACCTAGGGATATTCTTTCTCAATTTCCCGGTGTATTTTACAGTGGTGATTATGCACTGTTTTTATTGCACAGCATTCTTTAAACAAAAATTGTGTTAAACTGTGTTAAATATATATTTTAAATATTTTTCTTTACTGCTCTCTCTTTAGAGATAATTGTAGATTGTATCATAAAATCTAGTTTAATATTACGTACGATTGTTTCACAAGACAGCACCTTGGTCGTCTTTTCTAAATGCCTGGTATTTCTGCCTACAGAAGGATAAAGTTGTCCTAACATCTTACTGAATTCAGGGCCATTACATACCAATATACCACTGCTGGCTCAGGAAGTCCAAGAGCTGCAAACAGTTGGATGCTGCAGGAATTTGGTGTGGGGTGTAGATTCATATAATTACCTTATTTTAATTATACCTGGGCTTTTAGTCACTTTTGAGAAGAGGTCTCTGGGATAGAGACACCTTTTGGTCTGACTTAGTATTGCTGCTCTGACATTAATGCTGCTGACGAAAGCCTGATATTTAAGGCCTACATGGCAACGTGTTCAGGCTGAGGGTAAAATCTAACCTCCAAACCTGTGTTACTGTGCTTGAGTTTTTTTGACGTTTATTACAGTCTTGCTACTCTAATTTTCTGAAATGCATGCAGGCATACTGATTATTTCACCTCCTACTTAAAAGAACAGGAATCTTTTGTCTTGCCATGATTCTGTGGCTATCATAAGTTTTTTTGACTAATCCCTTATTTAGCTGCATACAGATATTATTTCATTCACTTTAATCTTTTCATTAGTGCTCAGTGGCAGAAACCGATCATCTTCCTTTTTCACACCATATTTTCCATGCTGTGTGACTATTTATTAATGTAACTTCATTGAGAAACACAATGTCGTTCCCTAATAAAAAATAATAAAAATAAAAACCAGTAAAAGGTCACATTAAGAAAGCAGTCTGCATTTGCTTTGTTTCATTAAAGAAAATCTGTATTTTCCAGCTTTGATCTAATACTAGGTTTACAGGTTCAGGGTTGTGTCATAGAACCCACTGAAGGTTTAGCCTTGCTTTTTTTTTTTTTTTTTTTTTTGTAAACAGCTAGAACCAAACTTCTCCTTTTAAAATGTTAAATTACTTTGGATCTGATTGTGTTGAATTTGAATTTCTGTAGGAACACTGAATGGAAAGAAGAAGATCAGTGGGTTTTTCAGACTGTTATCAATCAGTATCCAAGTGATCTTCAGAGAAGAAGGACTTTGTACCTTGATGCGCTGCAGAGATACCTTCCTCACAAATCTAGGCACGATCTGGTCAGTGTTGTTAGTTTAGCTATATACATTCTTGTATAAAGCATGTAGTGAGCATTTGTATTAAAGAATGCTTATCAAAGGTTTTTATTTTGTGACTTCTTAACTATAGATTTTATTCTGTACAATGAGATATGTTCCTGTCTTAAAAACAAACAAACAAAAACCATTCACTTCTTCAAAATAAGCACCATGGAGATTTTACACAACCTCTTACTGCCAAATTCACACAACTAGTTTGCTAGCATTGCTTTTTGCTATACAATTTTATAGTTATGTCTCACTATTCTGCTTCTCTTGTTATTTTTATCTTTTATAAGGATGTATAACATTGTCACACTGTCTAGGAATAGTTATTTTAATTGCTCTATGGCACATATATAGCAGGAAGAGTGGAAACTTATCTCCTGCTCTCAGAGAGAGGCTATTTTTACATTCATAATGCATTTCAAATTGATTACTGATTCTTTTTACACTCCACAGTGAATAAGCACATAGCAGCTAATAGAGAAACCCAGTTCAAGGCCAGAACATTTCAGGATGTCATAGGGAAAGTAGGAGTCTTTTCTTATCTCTGCATGTATTTTTAGACCATCTACTTCCTTATGTTTGAGGAGTGCCTAGTGCAAAGGAGTGGCAGTGTAGTGATAGCGATGAATAGCATAATTTCACCAAAGGTAAAGTTCTGGTGGATTTCAGAACTTTTGGATGTGAGAACTGGTCTAAAGAATTATATGCCTTGTATATGTGTACTTTTAAACATATCCATTATTAATGGGTCTCCCTAATTCTTTGGAGAGTCACTTAAAATTTAAAAATCATCATTCTGCATTGAATGTGGTATGCATACCAGCATGACAAATACAGAAATGTTAAAACAGTACTGAGAATCTGCTCTTAAAATGTTTGTTATATTAGCATAACTAAACTTAGAGCCTCCTATTCTTCCTTCTTTCTGAAGAATGGATCATTGGACTAGTACCTGAGTGCTTGATCTGGTAGCAGGTCATGACAGAAATCTACTTTTTAGAAGAACAAACTGTGCATCACATTTCTTGCTCAGTAGTTTCTTAGCTTAGTTTAGCTGCTTGCCAGTAAGACTCACCTGAGTTTCAGAGACCAGTGATGGCAATGTGAACCTCTCATACAGTGGCCTACACACATCTGAGCAAAAAAAAAAGTCTCCAGAGGTAGCGGTACCACTTTAGCTTCATTGATCTGTGAGCCAAGAGGAAAATCTATGAACTAGGTACCAGGTGAGTCAGCATGCCCCTGCCAAAGGCCCTGAAGTGAGCATCAAGGGTGGTGCCCTTGGAACTTGTGAGCAGAAGGCCATCTGCATCCTTGTAACCGGTAGTTTCTTGGGATGTAAAACAGGTCCAAGTTTCTAATGCCTTAGACTATGGAGCCTTACCTGTCACTATTTCTGTCAGTGTTGTGAAGCTTGAATGTCCTCTGGAAAATCAATGAATAAGGCCAAAGAAGGTGTATTTAAGATTAAAAACTGTGTATTGGTAGCGGCAGAATGCTGCTTGGCAAGCCAAAAATCAATTTCCAAATTTCCTGTTAAGAAAGAAAAAGTGAATCTAATTCTCTGTACTATGCTTGTACAACTGCTTTAAGTGGTGGTCTGTTTTTCTATAGGAGATCATAACATTCTATGAAAAGCATCGTGCTAAAAGTGTTCAGTATCTCTGAAGATGTATTGAAAGGATCTAACCTGCACTGTATGTACTCTATGGCAAGAACGTGTTTCATTTATTCTTATTCCAGAAGTATAGTTCAGGAAAGAACAGTGGTTTGTCAGGATCCTGAAGTGCCATGTGATAGGGGTCAACACCAGGGAAATACTGGAATGCTGTCACGGCCTACTGACACTGGGAGACTGCAGTATACCCAATGCCTGGCAGAATACTTTCAGGCCCTAATTGTGGATTCCATAGGGATATTGGTGATGTAATAATTATACAAATGGTATTCAAGGTTTGCAAAATACGGTATTAATGAATGGTGTTAAGCTTTTCTGAAATGCTTTACTTTTTTAGGTTATTCATGAGAGAGCTTGGGATCATTACAATTTCCTCAGGAATCAACACAGAGTTTTGATATTAAATTGGATTCAAGCTAGGAAGGCCTTTTTACTTAAGGCGGTGATGGCTGTTGCTGAAGCCTCTGCTGCTCAGGAAGAAGAAGTAGCGTCTGCTAATAACAAACAGAAGCAACAGGAGATTTGTGCTGATCTGAAAGCCAAGGTAGGTTCTGTTATAAATCTAGCACAAGCACATCTGTTTTGTACTGCCAAATTCAAAATGAATGCAGGCAAAAACTTGAAATTGTAAAAATTAAAGTATGGTTTTGAAGATTCTCCATTTCGTTACTCATAGGGATCCTTGTAAGTGTCATATTCTTACAGACTCTTGAACTTAGTTTGTATTTTTTTTTTTTTTTTAATTAAGAATTTGGTTGCCTACTATGTTTTAGGCCTTACTCTTAGTTTCATACTGTGGGTGTAATCTCTGCATGAACTGTGATCACATTTATTGGTGGATTTTGAACACCATCTAAGAGTTTGAACTGGTATTTCTGTATTGGAAGACCAAGATCTGTTCTGCTGTTTAGAATATGAGAGACTGTAAACAAGCCACCAGGAGAGAGGTCTGGTGTCAGACTCTGCTTTCATTTTTAACTCTAGCAAATCACAAAATATTTGTGTGTTTTGGTTTCATCCTTAGCAAAGTGGGCTTAATACCTGTACTGTGTGAGGTTTATGTCATAATTGGGTTAAACGCTAGAATCTTCATAAGTGGCAGTGAAACATGTTCCATTCATCATCACTACCACTAGTCTATTTGATAAAGGGTAGTCTGTTTTCAGAGAAATAATGAGTATCTGTCTTCATTTCTGTTTACTTTTCAGCCATAGAAAGCATTCTTAAAAATTGATCCCATATTGTGTTTGCCCTTGTTATAGAAGTTTCACAATATCCTGAAAGGAGATTTGCTGTGTGAAGAGGTGAACAAGACTTAAAACAAACAAACCCTGTGTTTTTTTCAAAGGGTATTTTTCTAAATAAAATCGGAGGAGCTTGGACACAAGAGGAGAGCATTATGTTGATGCCTGAGGCTTTTATAAGGGGAATCATATTTCTGGGCACGAAAGGCATTTGTTTGAACTGTTCTCTGATTTTCCACTTGCACAGAAATTATCATATGAAAGCATATATGATGTATTATTCTCACTTTATCAACATTGTCTTTGAACCCTTTTCCATGAAGTACTAAAGAGCTGAAAATCACAGTAAACCTAACTGTGGTTAATCAGAATTTTTGATTTTGAGTTTAGTTTTTCACTGTAATAATAGTACGAAGGACTGCCCTCGCCCCTTCCTAGAGTCTTCTGACATAGGAAGGTTTGAATCCAAACAGTTTAGGGTTAGAAGCTGTCTGGGCTTGACTGAGTGGGGAATGCCTGACTTCAGAGCCAGGCTGCTGCCAAGTTGTGTGAGGAATGCTTTTCTAGAGCTCGATCTTGACCCCAGGCCTCCCTTTCTGGAATGGCTGTTTCTCTTACCTGCACTAGCACTTATTCCAGAATTGTGAATTTTATCAGCCAGTCACTTTTTTTCCCCCCTCATAAAAATACCAGGGAAGTGTTATGTTATCTCCGTGTAGCTTAAGATTCTCACTGTTGCATTCATTGCCTCAAAGTCTTTAGATTGTGACCTCCTGCTTCCAGTAACCTGGAACTGTTTGAAACTTAAACCTATTAGGCCTACACATCTCAAGGGTTGCTTTCAAAGGTGACTTTAAAAAAAAAAAAAAAAGTTGAAAGCCTGATGAAAAGCAATTCACCTGCTTCTCAGAAGAGAGGAATAAAAAAGGTACAGTTTTGCTGTTACAGAAAGAGATCATTGTGACCCTGTTTTGATCAGTTCTGCAACTGAAGGGGCTAGCGGATGGAAGCTGAAACCGGGCATGCTATTTTTCAAGATTATCCTGAATATATCCGTGTTTTTCGTCTGGTTTTGGCAGCTATATATGCATTTGAAAACTTATACTTTGTCCAGTTATAGTTCCTTTTTCAGACTTTTCTTTCCACACTTCTAATTGTGCAACTACAGAAGTCATACTGTTATTGAAAGTGGTTGTGGGCAACTATCAGCTAAAAAGTAACTCTGGGTTTGGGAGTTAAGTGTACACCAACTAAAAACCCATCGTGATGAGGATCTGTAAGACAAGATTTAAAAAAGTGCATCTCCCTCTGCAAAGGAAGGAATGTAGAGCTGGACTAGCAAACATGTTATTTAAAGTTCTTTTAAATGCACTGGAGGCAACTGTGCCATCCATGAGACTGGGCTTTGTGACTGACAAGAGGTGATAAAACAATTAAAAAGTGAAACAGCAGAGAAGTTAATTTATGCTTGTAACATGTTTTTACTTGGGAATGGATTTTTAAATTCCTTTTCCACATTCCGTGTCACAGAATATCAGTGTGCATCCCTAACAGAAATCAGGGTCTCTAAGGAGGAATTTTGAAACAATCCAAGAAGCTCAACTGAAATAAATCATAAGGGCCATATCATAGTCATCTGAATGAAATAAAGTGTGAAATGGAGAATACTAGTGGGGATATACTATATATCCTTAAAGAATGAATGTTTCTGATACACATCTTTAACCCCTTCCCCCCCCCCCATCCCCCCATTTCCCTGGAAGGGGGGGGGGGGGAGGGAAGGAAACAAAACTGTGGGAGAACTACACCTTAAACGAGTGATGGGCAATGACCCATGTTATATTTTTGGTGCACTTTGTGGATTTATCCAGGTTCAGCACAGTGCTGTGTTTTATTGAAATTCCTCTTCCTAAACAAGATAAAGCGCGTTGTTCTTTGTCAAAAGGCAGTTAGGTAATAAAGTGGGAGTGATCTTTTAAGAGGGTTAGTAGTGTGCTGCTTCACAGTTGGTTTCTAATGGCTTGAAGTACTTGCTGTTCTGCATTTATAAATTCAGTCAATGTTTGCATGCATTCAGAATATTATTTTTGAATTGAATTTATGAAAATATTTGTAGTCCAGTTATTTCCACCTTCATATAAAACGGTTTAAAAAGGACAGTCAAGGAAAGACTTACAAAAGTAGATTAAATGGGAGTTGAATCTCCTGAGCATGATGCTTAGAGTGCTTTCTCTTCCTTCACATAAAACAATGTATCCCTTTTCCTTTAAATCTTTTGTGTTCCAGGATTAATCCCCACTCCAGTGCTAAAATCTCTTGCAACAGATTGTTAATTTTTGGAGGGCAATTTTTGCACTCCTTATCCTGACAGAAGCTAAGATAAACTAATTTCAAAAGAAGGATAGTTCAATGGAATTGACGGAAATGTTACAGGTTATGTAAAGGATGTTGCAGATAGACTTTCTTCTTCTCCCTTCATGTATAATGAGAACTTTTTTTTTTTGTTGTTTTTTTTTTTAGTAGTCAAATATAGTCAAATCACTGATTTGAATGACTAATACAGGAGATCAACATTAAGGTTCTGCAACTGGCTGCTCATGGCTTGGACTGGTGTACAGTTTGTTGGGTTAAAAACTGGCTGGACAGCCGGGCCCAAAGAGTCGTGGTGAATGGAGTCAAATCCAGCTGGAGGCCAGTGACTAGTGGAGTCCCCCGGAGCTCAGTACTGCAACACAGCTGCATGTGTTTCTTTCTGTTCTTCTGAGAATACCATCACAATTCCATTTAAAATACCCACTGTGCCCCAAAACTTCAATCAGAGGAGCATTTGGTGCCTCTGCTGAGACATATCTGTCTCAGTCACCTGGCTGCTCAGTTTATCAAAGCTTGTAGGATCACAAATATGTTTGAGACTTACACTTATCTGCCAGATTTAGTTGAAATTGTCCAATGATCCCCAAATTACTTGGGAATGGGTAGTAAGACAAGCAGACAGCTCACCTTAACCTTATGTTCTTTGGAGAATAATCTTCCTTCTTCAGCTAGGAAAGTAGCACCTCAGGCAAGTAAAATAGTATGCAATAGTACTTTCCAAAAGTAGTGAAATATCAAAGACACTGTTCATAGCACTGCATAAATAAATAGAAGTGAGCTTAATTTGCTATCCTTACATACACAGTACAAAGTAGTTGTAAATAGAATTGCGGTTTAAGGTTATGTATGAGTGAATATTTAAACCTACAAAATATTTAAACTTGTTAATAATATGTTGACACTCCTGTTGTCAAGAACTGTAACATGTCTAAATAATACTGACTGACAGGAGAGAAGAAATGCCAGGACAAGCTGTGAAGAGTAAACCATTGACGTATTGTCTTGAGCAAAGGTACCGTGACATGCTTCCAGCTTCAGGGAATCATAGAATCACAGGATGGCTCAGGCTGGAAGAGACCTCACAGATCACGCAGTTCCAACCCCCTGCCATAGGCAAGGACGCCACCCCCTAAATCAGGTGGCTGAGAGCCTTGTCTAACCTGGTCTTGAACACCTCCAGGGATGGGGCATCCCCAGCTTCTCTGAGCAACCTATTCCAGTGTCTCACCACCCTCTGACTGAAGATTTTCCTACTAATCTCTAATCTAAATCTCCCCTCTTTTTGTTTAAAACCATTCCCCCTCATCCTGTCATCTGATTGAGGAACTGAAACTGGTCTTCTGCAGCATCACAAGGTTTATAGGTACCAATCCCAGCCTTAGTGACTAAATTTCCTAACTGAAAATAGTGTCTTTTTACTAGTCTTTCTTTGACAGAGGATTATTTTCAAATGATTTTCTTCTGTATCCCTTTTTCTGATGTAAGCACTTTTGTAGCTGAAAAAAATGTCTATGGTTCTATTAATGATGAAAAGTTACCTTTATCCATTTTCTGATTTTCAATTTTTATTTTTTTTTCTAGTGGTGGATATGAGCTTTTGTAGGACAAAATTTAATCCTAATGACAATAGACTTGTTTTCCTCCATTACTTCTTGCAGACTTCTTGCGGAGGGTAGCCTGTGGAGCACAAGCTACTCAGGAGTGCCAGTCAAAATTTACTAGAGGTGTTAACTTTCATTGTTAATGTCAGAAGGTAAACTCACTCTGTGATTAGAAAAACAATCAAACTTGCAAATGTATTATTTCTTAGTTGTCTTATTACCAAATGCTCTAATCAAGGATTTTTCATATTTTTTTTGTAAGTCAGTTAGAAGCAGAGAATACTGTTAGCTTGTACCATTTGCCTGGTTTGTCATTCAAGGGACCC